AGTGGGTCACGACCCATAGTTTGGGAAACGCTGGACTAGGCTATCTACGGACAGCCAAATCTCCAACGAAACAAGTGATGAATTAAACACAGAATCCGAAGAAAAATCTAATGATAAAGTAAATGAAACCACCTTGATCACAAACACAACTACAGGATGAAGGCTTCACCACTGTTCAAAAGAAAACGAAAACAACCGCACAGACAATATACAACAAACTGGAACCTCTCGCACACACAAGCATAATAGAAGGGATACCAGGTTCTTGTAAAGAACCACAATTAGCAACCGAAATACACAAAGCGAACGTTACAATTAAACGTTTAGCTAAAGGCAGAATCATCATCAAAGTGGTCGAAGCCAAAGACTTAAAGGTATTACTTACCGAATGGCTGAAAGATGCTTTCAGTGCAGGAAATATTAAAATTAACTTACCAGCTATGAAACCAAATACACAATCATTCATAATCAGAGGAATACAAACAAAGAAGAAATTAAAACACTAATATATATCCCTTATACAACTTCAATGGATCATTTCCAGCAGAACTCGACAAACATTATAAAAGTTACTGATACTACAACAAATAACATCAAGAGCCTGATAACAAATGATATTAGCGCTTATAATGAACTACATGAAACCACAGATTTTTAGTTTCTAGTACATAGGTTAGTAGAGGAGTATAGGACATGAGAAACAACAAATGTAATTCTAACAGAGATGTGCAATTTAACCCAGCAATGAGGCGAATCTGTCCAAGTGTTTGGACATATGTTGCAGGAGTTAGGTAACAGATTGTACAGGGCTTATACACACCCAGACAAGCTAATGATACATTATACTTTAAAATCTGAATATGAACAAGGGTTGTACAATAATGCAACTAAAGGATATGTAAATGAAGTAAATACCTCTCAAGCAACTTCACTTGATCTGATTGAAGTAGCTATTCGAGAGGAGCTATGAAAAATATAGATATATATAAGCCTAAAATTCTACCATAAATGTAGTAGATAGACCTAGCAAAGCAGATTGACACAATAAACAAAGTAAGCCTGATAGCCTCCAGTGTTTCAAATGTGGCAAAGTTGGACATAAAGCAAGCAACTGCTTTCAAAAGCAGAAAATAAATGAGCAAATAGTGGGTTTTAATTGTGGTATTACAGGCCACATGGCATGAGATTGCCAACATCCACAGAAGGCAGAAAACGGAAAAGCCCCAAAGGCTGGAACTTATAGTGGAAAGTTCCTAAAAATAATGGTAACCCTACATTCACTGTAGGATCAAGAAACGTAATCCCTACCAGAATTACAGATCGAAAGTAGAGGTAGTTCTGGTAGTTTGAGTGTTAATGATGTATGAACAATAGTTGTAGAAGAAATAGAAGGTGTAATATGTCGGTTATTGGTTGATATAGGTGCTCGATCTTCACTACTAAGTGCAGAACTAGTAGATAAAAATCCAACATTGTTCGATAATGCTTGGAAAGAAGTTTCTAAAAGTATTTTAACTTCTATGACAGGACATTTTGTTAAAACACTAGGTAAATAGAGCGTACATATGAAAGTAGGAAAGTTAGAACACTCATTCTACATCTGTAAGCAAAAAGATTTAGAAACAGACAGTATCATAGGGCAAGATTTCTTAAGAACTTATGACACTGAAATATCTCTTACTTCGGGTAAGCTATGCATAGAAACAGAGATCTTAAGTTTTGAAGGACTTGAACCTTCAGACTTATGTGCAACAGTTGAGACGCATGATACCTTCCCACTGGCTAAAGTTAATAGTCAGACATCTAATGGTAGCATTAGCAAGGCTAAGGATCAACACACAAACATGAAAGCACTGATCTCCTAGAGTGTAGCCATACACGACAAAATCAGAGAAGTAGAAACAAGAAGTGTTCTAAAGGAAGTCCTAAAAATAAAGCCAAGGAATAAGAATACACAGAAAAACTCTAAATCCAGCAGAAGTGACGATGGAAGTCATAAGAATGTGAGTGATAGTAAGATAAGGCAGAATAAGTTAGCAAATAAAGCTTTAAAACAGGAAAATAGTAATTCAAACCCCTCAGATGACTCTACACGTATGCCTAACATAAGCAACAGATCATCCCAACAGGAGTGTTTGAAAGAAAGAGTGTCCGTAAGATTAGTTAAAATAACTGAAGTACCTGCAAGAAGTCAATTTATTGTTGAAGTTAAAGTAAATGACTTTAAGTGTAATGAAGAAGTTTTAGTTGAACCTATTGAGATAGAAGAAACAGGAGTTTATATAGCTGCTTGTATTAGTAAAGTGTCTGAGAGAGATACAGTGCCTATAAAATTGTTAAATGTGAATGAAGAAAAAGTAAAACTACCTAAGAACATAGTAGTAGGTAAGGCTAGTGGTAGAGAACAGTTGGCTGTGGTAGGACAGCATAACATTAATAATGTTAATAAACAGGCACAGCAAAGTAGGATAGACTGGGATTCTATCTTATGAAGTGTAGAACGGAAACATAAACAAAGTTTGATAAATTTGTTAGAAGAGTATAGAGATATAATTGTAAGAGAAAATGACTCTAATGGTTGTTCAAATAAGGTTAAACACAAGATAGTATTAAGTGATAATAAGCCTATAGCACAGAGACCTTATAGAGTGCCAGAAAAACATAGGGTTGAATTAAAAGAATGTGTAAAAGAGATGCTTGAACCAATAGTAATAAAGGACAGTAGTAGTCTTTATGCATCTCCAGTTGCATAAGTTCCTAAGAAGGACAGAAAATTAAGGTTCTATGTGGATTTTCGGAAAGTGAACAGAGTAACAGTCAAAGACATTTACCCATTACCTAATATCCAAGAAACCGTAGATAGGTTAGGCAATAGTTAATACTTTCATCTCTTTATTTACAGAATG